ATCCCCATGGAGGGAAAGTAACGCAGCAGAACAACATGCTCCTCCCTTTCCTCCTTGTTCCTACTTGGAAGTAATAGATAAGCCATTTTCAGGAAAAATAGATGGCATCACCACAGTGCAAACAGATCACCCCACCAAATCCAAGCAGCAGTGCTGTGCAAAGACAAGGCACTCCATGTTATTGCACTACCACCCTGCTCAATGGCAACCTCTTCCCAACAGGAACAGCAGCCATAGGTCCAATGTGGCAAATCTTACTTTTCGGATACATGTTTTCTAACCAGTGAATTCAGTACACTTCATAATCCATTGCAAAATAATCTATTTACTTGAGAGATAATATCCTTACAAGTTTGGAAGGGCTTAAACCCTCTAGGCAAAAGCATAAGGCCATTCTCATAATTGAAGATATATAAATAAGACGCTCTGATAAGCACAGTATCAAGAACAGAACACAAAATGGACACAAAATGCATCAGGTTTAAAGTCTCAAATAATTTTGGTATTTCACAGCAACTTAGTCTTTGCACACATACACAGAAGGAGGAACTCATGAGACTGTGGAGTAGCATTTATAGCTGCATCATTATTTAAGCCATTTGCTTAGATACCTACGGACTACTAAGGTGAAGACTGTTAAACCAAAACTGTTTCCTGCCAGCTCTCTTCATGCTGCTGCAAGAAGCCTTATCTTGGCATCACCTACTTACAGGAGAGATACTACATCGGCACTCCACACTCCCTGTTCCTACCCAAGGTCACTACTCTGAATGACATACCTGAGGGTCAAAGACTGCCCTGCTCAAATCCTAGTGACTACAATCTCTTGGGATTCTTCTACCTATGCAAGGTAGAAGAAGGGTACTACCCTTCTACCTATGCAAGGAGGGGAAAGCTCACAGAAGCTCTCTAGAAGGTGTGGTTTGTTTTGACTGGGGGAGGTAGTCTTCCAGAACAAAACAAAACAAAAAATCCTTCTGCATTTATCTTGGTTGGCTTTTAAATTCCAAGTTTGCCCAAAACCCTCCGTCCACTGCACCCCAATACTATTTTGAAGCAACACTCTGGATGCCAAGGGTCCAGAACACTGAGACAAGGGTAAAAGCCTTAACAAACGTTAAATGAAGACTTTAAAACAGGAGCTTGAGTTTGTGTTATGAGAGCATTAACTGCAATCTGGAGTAGCTCTATTTTCTTAATATTTTAGGTTAAAAAATTCCAGAGGCATAGGACAATCAGAGCAGGATGATAATTCCTCAATACTTTATTAAGGTCTTTAGTTTATATACCGCCGCTCTGTCAGCTTGTCACTAGACCATGTAAAACATCAGACAGAAGAGGGAAACATGTCAGCTAGAAGTGTGATAGACTCTCTGAACAACATTAATGAAAAGTTCTACTCCACAATGCAATCAGAATAGAGCAAAATAATAGCCAACCTATACAGGTTCTCAAAAGGAGATGAGACCATCCTTCCAGTACAGATGTTTTACTCGCAGCTCTTCTTTATGCACAGACATCCACAAAAGGGACTGACCAAGGAGTGAAAAAAAAGTGAAGAGCTCCAAAGTCCAGGAAAGTTCAAAAGGCTTAGTTTGCATACAAAAACTCAGTTAATTCCAGAAGTTCAAGTGCAAGTGGATTCTGACTAATATTAATCACAAATGCCACCAATTTACCATGCAAACATTTTAATTGTTTAAATTGCTTTCTTCCAAGCATGAAGAGACAGAAGTACCACTCCACAGTGGTATCCCCTATGACAGTGACAAAGGACCACCTGCTTATAACTTAAATGACAAATTCCTGTTTTGTATAACTGAGGCTGAATACCCACAGGATATTATTAACATTTGACCTCCAGCATCTGGTCTAATAAAGAAACACAGAACAGCTTTGCTGTAGTACAAAAGTTTACAGAAAGTTCGACAATTTAATTAAAGACAATACAAAATATGTTGTCTGAATTCAAATAATTTATGTAAAAGTACATGAATGAGAAAAGATTGGCGAGGAGATTTGGGTAACCATATTATCAGATGCATGTTCTTTGTCCCTAGAGATAACATACAGTCAAAAATACATTTATATCTTAAGTTACAGTAAGAGACAGCATTTTAAAATAAACACAATTTCAGGTTTACCAGCCCTTTAACGTGAAAAATTCCTGTTAACATAGGACAGACTGATAGAATCAAAAAAACAGCAATACTGAAGTCTCTGAATAAGCCTGTAGTGTTTGTTTTTCCTTTTATCAAGGAGGGAGAAGACAACAGAAAACAAAGAGGAGTATTTTGTTAGTGCTCTGTCTTCTCAAGTTAAGTGTTTTAAGCAGTTTGATCAGAGCATCAGGGATTACTTTCACCCATATACCCCAGAAAAACCCACCCTCCTTGTAAGGAGACAGAGTACAGATCAGGAACAGATCTTCCCTTCCACACAAAGCATTACCACGTCCACGCAAGAGTGGATCCTGCAGGCAAAGCAAGCTACCCCTACTGTACTCACGGTGGCAGCTTGGCCCCAACAAGCACGTTCTCTCAGCCTCCAGCAGAGCCACTATTCCTCTGAAATCACGAGTTATTTCTTCTCGTTTGTCAAATATTGAAACCCTAGAAGTCACCTTCTTGATTATGGTATCAGACAACAGCCTGAAATACCCAAGATTTCTTACCATGTGTCACTTGCCCTCCACATTTTTGTGGTTAGCTAAATAGTTTAACAAGACGACACATGATTAATTTCTTTGAAGATATTTTAGTTCATTAATTCTTGATAAAAGCATTGGTTGCAGTACAATAGTTTGACATACAGCAACAAAACATACTCAATTTACATTTACAAGCTATTTAACAATAGTACGTGGTCTTTCCTATTGCCATTAGAAAATGAACACTACTATGACAGCTGACACAGCCTTCTGATTGTTCTCACAAGCTCTAAAAAAGGGGATGAAAACAGTGTTCCATTTGGTATGACGGCAAAGAACAGAGGTTTGGCCACTGCTGGAAGATTCCAATGGAGATGCCAGTGTCATAATGGGAAACAGTGTTGGAATTACTGTAAAAACAGCTACAAAAAAAACTATGCAAAATTGCTTTGATGTGTACTTCGGTTTAAAAAAAGAACACGTGGGAAATGCTTACAGCTTTGTATACAAACATACCAGAAACAACAGTACATGCAGAGGAAGAAAAGTTAGAGTTTAAGGCAAGACAAATGTGTGGATGAGAGAAAAAAAAAAAAGATCACTGAAGTACTGTAAACCAGCAGCAATCTGTTGGGGAAAGAGGGCATAATTTTCTAGCAGGATTGGTTTGTGTGGGTTTTTTTGTGGTTGGAGGTTTTTTTGTTGTTTTAGTTCAGTTTTGTGGGTTTTTTTTGTTTTTGTTGTTTGTTTGGTTTTTTTTTAAATAAAGCTTCCAACTTTGAAAATGCAAGCCAAAACTCTTCTGCATTTCTGTTCTATGCCTGGCTGAGATTTCTTTCAGTTTTACAGTTTGGTCCAGATTCTCATGGTTTAATGTACAAAGTACAGTACATGCTACTAGGACTACTCACTGCAAGTTTTCAAAGTCTGCTTTTCAAAAAAACAGATACAACACTGTCACCTTCCTTAAAGGTTGATGTCAAAGTTTCAGTACTGCTGTTAAAGGGCTTCTAGAAATGAGGACAGAGAAGTCAGATTTGTGACCAAGAAATAAGCAATGAGGTCTGTAAAATGTACACGTTACAATAAGACTTTTCCTATAGCAAATAAAAGTCATCAGGGGACCTTTTTTTTTTTTTAACATTTCTTTCTAGGTTTCAGAAGTGCTAACAATTCCAGCAATAAAACTTTCAAAGTGCCCTGCCTGTGCCTCTCTTTTTAGTGTCTTTTCCAAATGGTATTCAAACAGGTAAGAAACCCTCTCCTCTAATCAACAGTTATCAGCTTAGCATTATGCTATTGGCAAGTCAGATCCTGAAGTATTATGAATATTCAATAGTTGTAATCAATTTATTCATGACCATATAAAAAAGCACAGTTACATGTGACTGCACTGTCAGATCTCTAATACACCAAGTAAGACTGCAAAAATAAAAGGCAAAAAAGGAAAAAGGCCTCAAGTCTCCTTTTTTTGTTGTTTGGGGCTTTTTTTTACTAATTGTCTCACAGCAAAAAAAAAAAGTAGCAAAGGCTTAATCTTAAATACAAAGTTACAATCTGCAATCAGGTCCTTCTAATCCAGACTGATGATACACTTTATACTGTTTCAACTGAACCACCCATTACAAACTTACACTGCCAGCACTCATTCATACCCTGAAGGGTTCCCAGCCTCATCCACCCAATCAACTATTCACACCTTGTTTTAAGCAGAACAATAAAACAAGTTGTTTGTGGTTTTGAAACAGTTGGTCTGAATTCTTTAATACCACACTCAAAACTCAGGACAACAAACTTAGGGATCTCTCAACTCAGTTCTCAAAATATTGTTTACAAAGGAAAAAAAAAAAGAGGCGTGAATATGGAAGTATAAAGGTGTTATAACACCACTAAAAAAAATGGACTTGGTAAAGAGCCTACACTGGAAACATTTACCTCGTCAAAGCATTAAAATTACCTCAGAAGACAATTCAGAGACACTTAGAATTGTGAAAAAAATGCAAACTAGACTGTCATAGATCACTGAAATATCTAATCTAAAGGCAGTGCAAAACGATGGCTGGTGAGGGGGCAAGCAGCCAAATTACTCATCACTGACCTCCTTAATAATCTGTATTGAAGGACCTGACGAACAGCGGTGAATTTTTTGTCATGCAATTACAACTGTTAAGCAACCAATATGCAACCGAAGAGTGGTACTGTCATCCATGGTGGATTATTAAACTAATACTCCATTAAAGAATAAGGTCAAAGGGGAAAGTGGTAAACACCAGTTGCCATAAGTGAAAACACTTCAAAAATTTACAATTAAATAAAAAGTTAGATGATCTCTTATAAAAAGAAGTACTGAACACAACAAAGCCACAATAAATTAGTGTTTCCATAAAACGACATGCTGAAGGTTTTGTTCCCAAGTCTATACATTTTTTTACTGTCTGTTAATTCCTAAATATTGACAGCATAATTGAGGTACAGTAGTTTACATTTGTATATGTCTTGTAAAAAGGTTAATTTTTTTCTTCCAGTTTTTCTTCCTCATCGCCAAAGAACAACAAAGGAAACATTCCTAAAATGCAGCCAATGGTCACTCCAATAGCTTTACCCTAGAGAAAGGGGGAAAAGATTAAGTTTCTCACTGATCAGTTGTTACTCATTTGCTGTGTAGTAGCAACACAACCAGGAAAACAGACCCTTTGTTCTAGCTTTTGGTTGGGAGCCACGTTTTTCTTAGCATGCAGACTAGAAACACAATCTATGAGAGAGAGACAGATATGACAAGGTTAGAAACAGCGTATGCTGTGATAAAAGACAATTCTGAATAAAGAGGAGGGGAACGACCCATGAAGAGCTGCAGAGGTGGTAAGGGAGGAGACAGATTCAAAGGATTAGTAGGATGGCCAGAAGACAGGGAAGGAAAAAAAAAAACAAAACACACACCACATTTTAGGTGCAATTATAAATGTATCTGCTCACATCTGGTAACGCAAATTATCACCAAGTTCAGGAATGAGGAATTCCTTGGAAACATGACAATTTGCAAAAACACAAGGTGAAGACAAAAAAAAGAAAAGTTTGGAAGACATTTCACAATTGACCTAGACATAAAAGTCAACAGGTGAGGAAAGAAATAAGAAAGGCAACATCCAAACCACATCACCAGCAGTAGGTGGATAGTGTTGAGAAACTTGAGACAGCGGGCAAAAAAGAAAAAATGCTAGCATACAGGCTAAGATGCTCAGAAGTCTTTTCACAGAAGTGCTTTGAATGAACTGCAGTGCAACAATAGGCTTTTGCCACAGACTCAGCTTCCACTGAGAAAACTCTTACGTTGGACAGGCTAGAGGGCAGCCCACTGACCACATGCCAATTCTTCCCCGCTCAGTGCTTTGATCTATCACTGCTAAAAGCAGACTTTTTCCCCCCCTAACTTCTCCTTAGCAAGTGTTATCTCTCTTCCCTTAAATCTGCAAAGATATTTTTCCCCATGAAGGCTCATTCTGGCAAAGTGAAATAAATATCTTTCTTTAATCAGTTTCTTAAAATCTGTTTCTTTAATCAAAATAAACTAATGCTCTTGTTGCTGAAGTGGGACTGCTTCAAATGTTTAAATGTTAATGAAGTAATCATCCTGAAAATGAATCTGCAAGATAAGTACCCCATAACTGTAAACCCAGGCAGTGAATATTATGCAAATGCCAAAAGTTTACCCAGGGGAAAGCTAATTTCATATCCAAGCTAATTATAGAATATTAGAAATGAATACATACTAGCACAGGTATATGAATAGCAAGCACTTGACAAAGAATGTACAGGAGTAAACTACTAAGGGGTCGTAATGTTCAAATAAATTCTTATCACAGTAGCCAGAGCTCACACCAGGTATCTGCATAGCATACATGAAGTCATCGCAGAGACTACCCATGTTACTAGTCACTTCTGGCTTGCTGCAGACAAAAAAAACACCACCCAAGCCCCAAAGAATCCAGTCTTATGATGCTCCCTCACATAGGCTCACAACTAAACCTTCCAGGAAATGTGCAAAATGTTGGTGGTTGTTAAGTATTTAATGGCAAAAGTGACAAAAAAGATTTATCACATACTAGTTTAAACAAAAAAAGCTCCACGCAAACAGTGCCTACCTACAGGATACTCACCAAGTGTGCACTGAGACGCGTTTGCCACATATCAGCTTGTTTGGGTGTCAGATCAGGGATTGACAGACCCAGCCGTGAAGCTAAAGCTTCTACGTAACCTGCAAGACTGGAAGAACAAGAAAACAAACGATTTTGGGTCTGACAGCATCTTCTAGTGAGGATTTTGAAATATTTGAAGCACTGAACTTAAAATCAATAGCTTTTCCTGCAACATACTGATAAAGCCATCGAGAGGTAAATATGGGAAAGTGTTCAAGACTTCTGATGGTCACATTTTGCAATGTAAGTTAACTAATTTTCTCACTGATTTAATATGCAGTATTTCCAGGAAAACTTTATGCAGTAAAACACAACTGGTATGAACGTTATTGTATTTTTGCAGAGCTTCTAAGTAACCTTTACTGGAGGAAAGGTTACACACATGCACGCATGCCAGTTAGTAATAAGCCTTGTTATTTGCAGAAAAAAATTAGAGGGAAAGTGGGAAAAAGAGGCATAACAGACAGCTTTATTTTCAGCAATTATGCATAAATTTCCTTTAAAAAAATAAAAAAGTCAGCTGCATCTGCTTATATCAGAAATAGGTATGCCTAGATCTGAAGATGTTTCAGATATGTAATTGTTTTATCTGAGGGGAAGGAAATGTCTTCAGATCTAGGCATAACAATCTGAGGAGATACATTAGGTATATTCTATCACAGCAATATATTATATCACAAAAAATGTATTTTTCCATTTTGTATTTTAATGAACGCACTTTTTGTAGAAAAAGTTCTAATACTTCTTTAATGGCAAGCATTACCTACAGACTACATTGAATCAGGTTCCTTAAACGCCACTCTTAAACGCCAATCCCAATATTATCACTGAAAATACATAATATTGTAATAGCAGGAGAATTATTCTGTTTCCGAACTATGGCATTGCAGTTTTAACCTTGACAAGAACCACCTAATATTCCAACTTTTTTTTAGCAAGGACAGAATGCATTTCTACAGTCATGTAGTTTACTGAAGCAAAATTCAAGAGCTAGGAAAAAAAAAATAAAGCAATTTCAGCAGTTTATATGTTCTACTTCAGTAGCACCAATAGTGTTTGCAAGAGAGGAAAAAAAAATATTCTTAATACAAGTTCAGACATACCCCAGTCCAGCTAAATCTGAAACAAGGTTTCCCAAAGCTGCAGCTGGAGGGAGGAAAAAGGAAGAGAAGGGGAGAAGGAGGAAAAGTATTATTTTAGTTATAAACAAAACTAACCAGCTCCCCTTCCACCCTCAGTGACCCTCACTCTTCTCAGTGTACGTATAGCATAAAAAACTAGAAGCAAGTTTCTTTTATTTTAGAGTTTTTCTTCTGACCTTATTACAGTTTGTAATAACAGCAGTGGACTAACAATGACAGGAAGTGCAGCTTTTTTCTCAACTTAGATGAAGAAAACTTGACAAATACAAAAAGACAACACTGACACCTGGAAATCAATGTAGCAACTTTTCATCAGATCAGAGTTAAAAATGGCCATGCATGGTTGCCAGTTTCATACAGCTAACACTGGATGCCAAGCAAGGCCTTGCAGTGCCTGGAAGAGGCACAGGAGCACTGGAAACAGAAGGAGCTATTACTCACATTAAGTACCTTTGATAAACATTTCAACATATCCATGAACTGTGTCAGTTTAGGAATAAATACTGTACCTATGATTGAATAAAGTTACACACTCATGATTTCACAGCAGATCTTATTGAGATAAGCTTGCTTGTGACGGTCTTGCATTGCAAGAGAGGGCTGCAAATTTCCAAATGATTAACTTGTTCTGCTATATACATTTTCATTTAAGCTATCTATGTGCTTGTGAGCAATGCTGCACCTGCAGTTGGTGGGTCCATGAGCATTTTTTTTTCCTCTGACATTGCAGAGGCACCAAAGCTGTCGAGCAGAGCTTATCAGTTTTGGCCCAGCGCAGGAGCAGGGCGGCTGCTGGGCCTTCCTGTGGTATCGCACAGAGGCGGAGAAGCCACCAAGAACACCAGCCAACACAGTAAAAGGACACCAACACTCATCTTCACTTAGCACTGCAAGCAAACAGCAACTTACAAACACATATATACACATACATAAATATCAGACCCTAAGGAATTTAGAGCAGTTCCATTACAGAAATACAAATACACTTTCCTAAGTGACCCAGGATTTGAACTTTTAGATTAAAACCGACAAGCATTTCAAAAGCTATTTGAACTGAAATTCCATTTCTGCAAGTGGAGTAGGTCCTTTCTTCAACCACAGGTTGTTTCTCTATTTGGAAAGGCAGCTGCAAGACCAAGGAATCAGCCATTTCCAGCCCTGTGGCCCACCTTCAGCCTAAAATATATGAATGTGCCGTATTAGTCTACACATAATATTTTTACTACTTGCCTGCCATAGTTGAAATTCCTAGGACAACTCCAATTGACAACTCTATTTGGGTTCCCTGAAAAATAAGAGTTTTCTCATTATTTGAGGGATTTGGAGTTAAAATAGACTGTATTGCTTCAACTGGCAAAAGTATTGCTTACTGCTTATGTTAAGACTGAAAGGATAAATGGGCATTACTGCTACTAGATCCGCACAGCTCCTACTCTCCTAGCATATGTATTTTCCCCTAGGACAAGAGCCTACTTCTGATATTCTTTTAATGTTTTATATTGTTTCATAATGGCCACCTAATGGACAAAACCGTAATTCCTATCTCTGCATACCATTTTTCCCACCATAATTCTTAGTTGAATGCACAGTGCTGAATGCAAACTTCTACAAATACTGAGCAAACAAATAAAACACAGTATCGTAGCTCCTTACTTTTTCAGTTGAAGAAACAAAATCACAGTGAACTGCACGATGAAACAGCAGTACATGGTCCAAAGATAAGAGACAATGTGCATGAATTAAAACATGCTCCAGTTGGATACAGGAAAATGTTTTCCACTGTGAGGACAGTCGACCATTGAAACAGGCTGCCCAGACAGGCTGTGCAGTCTCTGCCCTTGGATCTTCTCAAGACCCACAGGATAAAACAATGAACAACTTCATCTGACCTTATAGCTGACCCTGCATTGAGCAGAACGTTAGACTAGAGACCCTGAGAAGGTCCCGAGCAGGATCAAGACTAGAGACCTAGTGGGTCCTGCGATCCCTTCCCACCTGAATTACCCTGTGATTAAGATCACACTGTCAATGATAATTCTACACAAGGAACAATATCTTTGGCCTTTATCCATCTTCCTGTTCCACTAGTCCATTTCATCTTCCAAATGAACAGGAAAATATCTCAGCGTTATTCAGAAATGCCAGGCTACCTCAGTACGAATCAGCATCAGCACTAACATTGCCTGCATCACTCAGAACAAAGGAACAAATCAGTAAAAACCCTGAAGACCTATTCATCAATGCATTACAATCACATTATCATCAGTTGGTACAAAAAAAAAAGTGTTGACTACATGATCATAAATGTGTCTTGCAGCACAAATTAGGAGAGGGGAAAAAAAAGCAAACCTTTTCTCAATTCAGTAAAATTAGTTACAATACTGCCCTTCAGGAGGAACAACATTCCTTTGCATCCTGCAAAGGCTGAATAGAGCATGGACATTTTCTTTAAAAAAGAAAAATTAAAATAGAAATTAGTGAGTTTATACAGAGGGAACAGAGTCTTCCTGAAGCTCTCATTTACTCATTTAGTACTTGAACAATATGAATCTTACTGACTTGATCAAGGAATTACATAATGAACTTACCGCAGCAATCATAATTGCGTTATCCAAAAATCCAAACCCTACAAAAGGTAATGCATTGTGGAAGAACACTAAAAGAAATAAGTAACAAAGAGAAAATAAATATTTATAAGAGTTCACTAGTTCACATGAACTACTGAAACGTCAGTCTAATACTGCCTTTAAGAGAAACAAAGACAACATACACAAAATCCCTTTCCTACTACTTTTATTAGTGACCTTTTTATTTCTGGCAGGTTTGGTAAAACCCTTTGCTACACGTAAGTGTTACTAATGGCTTGCAAAGAGCCAGTTAAACCAACCTACTCTTTGCAAATACCTGTACAATTTTGGATGTAAGCCACTTATGCCTACTACTGCATAAGAGAAATAATTAAAACTACACAAACTTTGATACTATTTAGTTCTTCCAACCGACATTGCAGTATCACTGAAGATTGCCAAACTGTCTCACCAGACTCTCTGCATTCTTCTCTTGCTCGAAATAAAGCCCCTTCCTCTGCAAGTCCCTCTCTATTCCAGTGCAAGAGCTCCATCTTCTTCACGCATTCCTAAAAATTCTTATTTTAAGAATATTGCCTGGAGCTAGGCAATTCTTATCAAAACTCCTTCAGCTAAATCTGCAAATGCTAAGGTGGTTTTCACTAGTGTGTCATACAGCGTTAATTATCTCACTATTCAACTCAAACTTCTTGATTTTGTTTGGGCACTATGACAATGACAAGTTAGACTTGAAGCCGCTCCTCAATACATTGTTTAAGAAATCAAGTTCCACCTTTTGTTTCATGCATTTTTTTCTTTTCACTCCTGAAACTCTGAGTAAACCCTATTTGAAAATGTCTTCTATTGCAGGAACTTGGAACTTGCTGGTCTCAATTTCTAACAACAAGCACAGTGCTACTGTATCGTTCTTTTTTGTCCTGCTCCATTTTCTCTATAAAGTCTTAGTTTGTAAGCTTCTGATGGAGATGGGACTGAATTTGCACAGCATTGCCTCCAGCTGAGTTTCAAGGTGCTAGCATCATAAGACTAAATACAACACCGAGGACAGACACATAACTAAAAATACAGCTTAGAAAGTTAGAACTTTTCATTTTTAGCATTTAAAACGCATCAGCTATTTACATTTTTGTCCCCACTTCAGATGGGAGCAATAATTCCTATATTTTATAAACTTACAGATGCAAACATATGAAGAGGGAAGAAAGATGAGTGCACGAACCTCACAGCCATGTGAAAAGAAACTGGTATGAGTCCCTTTTGCGATTACCTCTCACAGACAGCATGAATCCATGATCATAGAAAAAACAAAGCCACGCTCAAGAGGTTTTTCACGCTCAGGTACTAGAACATGTTTGGACTTCTGTAACTACTTTGTAAGAACACATACCTTCTTAAACGCACAGGTAAAAGACTACAGCACAGAACGCATGGAGTTTTCCAAATTATTCTTTTTTTAAACCACCACAGGACAAAAACCCCAAAAACATAAATAACGAAAAAGCACACAGAGATGCCTAGTATTTTCAAAATGTGTGCACCAAACTCTGGTGCTACAAAGGGAGCTCAAATTCTTACCGAAGTTGACAGAATTTTGGGATCCATGGAGTAAACAGAACCCCAGGGACCAAGCGAAAAAAAACCAAAGAAAAATAAGTGTAGATATCTAGAATAGGAAAATATTCAACTAAATACATTTGCTCACTGACAGAGTTTAAAAACACAAGATACACTGATTTGGAAACTAAATCAGAATTTGAACGACCATGGTATTATAAAGAATACCAAAGCTATTCCCAGTTTCTCTGCAATTTTATCCCACTTCTCAGTCCATTTAAAATATATGTGACAAGAAGCAAGTCAATAGTTTTAAGCTTAAACACAAAACCCCCCACAAGGTACTGCAGCATCAACACCGCTCGGCTTACAAAAAAAGTGTTTGCTGCTGGCTTTGAACAGCACAGTCTCATTTGGGCTTTCTGTCCTACTTTCACTAAATGGTGCACATTCTCCAGCTGAGGTGCTATGAAATAAAGAAGGCAGGGTGACTGCTGGTGCTTGCTTTGGTTTTCTGTTACTCCATATGACAGGGGTGAGGACAGACCAGCACTTGTAGGAGAAAGGTAAAGCAATTCAAAAGACAGACTGCACAAGTACTGAACCACATTCAACAAACATTCTTCTTTTACCATGTTTCAGTTGTCCTGGAGATGGTGGTGCAACCTCCAACTTCTCTAGAGAAGTCAAAATGAAATGAGAAAGTTAGCTAGTTCATCACAAATTCAGTTAACATATTATAAAGTGTTTACCAAATTACTAGCAGGCAAAAAAGCAGTTATGTTATTTAACAGCTTTAAAATTTGAAGAAAAAGGCTTCACATCTACATTTTTTTACAAAAGATAACATACTATTAAAAGCCACAAAGTCTTAGAATGATATTACAATATTAAACTAGTATAGTGATTATGCAAAGTAATAGCATACATTAGAAGCAGCCCGATAGCCACCTTTATTACTGAAAATTAGAAAACCACACCAAAATTAGAAAAACCAGGACTTCTAAAGACAATTGTATTTTATTATTTGTTTTTAGAGGTCCTGTAAGCATGCATCAGACAACCACCAGAGACAGTGTGCAAAAAAACTCCTACCATTTCTGTTCTGACAGAAGCCGTCTTTTAATAACTAGTGTGAGAATAAAAGAAAAATACTACCATGACATTAGAGACCACTGATTTCAGCAACAGCAGATCAAGTTTGGTCATTCGGTGCACGTTTCAGGTATCCTGGCATCAAACCATTAAGAGCTTAGAAGGACAAGGACATCACTCCTGAACCTGACACAGTACTGTATAGAAAGCTAATGCAGTCTATTAAGAGGTGATGTACAGAACGCAGCAGCTACAGCTACCCATTTCACAGGGGCAAGGGAAAGAAAAGCAAGCTACTTTTTTAGGCTTTTGTTGCTGTTGTTTTTTAAATGTGGATATTGAGCATAAGACCCCTTTTTCAAGCATAAAAAAAGTTGCCCCAGTATCTTCCGGTATTATGAACCCTGAGCTTTTGACAAGTTCCTTCCACACTTTTGATTAGGTAACTTCTATAGGCAAAGGTAAAAAATGGTAAAACATAAGAGAAGCCTACAACACTACCTCAAGTGTTCAAATTTTACTTGGGGCAGCCAAGTACATGAAAAGACAACGCTGCAAACACAGGCTGTGAATCATTTGAGCATACGTCTGAACTGTGCAAACCAGAGTGAGTATCCCTGCATCCAAGTCACTCCTATATTCAAAGCTATTGTAAAGGAGAAACTAAAATATTCACTTAACTTTGGAAAAAAAAAATGGTTACACCATAACACCAATATTCAGCCAACCAGGACACTGACTTCCAAAATGATTTCATTAATTTAAGGTCTGAAACTGTAACAACTTTCAAGCTTTAGCAGTTATTGGAGACCCGCTTCTTCCCTCCGCCCAATAGATAAACTACCTAAGCTCTACAAACACCAGCTGTAATCATCATGCAAGTGGGAGAAGTACAGCCCAAATACTAGAGAAATAAAGATTTTTTTTTTTTCCCTCTTAGAAAATGCCAAGGAATTTACAGATTCAAACCTCAAGCTGGAGGAGGAACAAAAGAACATCCCATGGTAAACAGAGGGGAGCCCTGCAAGAGCCAATCTTCCAAAGCTGCAGGCATCACTGGTGCCCGACAGCCAGAAAACTTCAGACCAAAATTTTCAGCTTGTGTTCAAGAAGGATAGGACCGAGGGTGGGACCCATTTTCCCAACACAAACTTCTCCTGCACTTGTCTGCATGTGGCCTCCCTCCATCCTCGCAGCTTAAGCAAAGCTTTTAGAAAAGCATGGAAAAAGAGAGCTGTCTGTATACACCAGTACCACCCTTTCAGCAGCTTTTCTCAGAGACAGCAAATTTGTACAACACTAGGGAAAATCAGGGCCGCTTTGAACTAAAGAGATTAACTGAGGCCACAGTTTCCAAAAGCTCTAGATGCCCTGGGGGTGACCAGGCAACCTAAGCCAGTACCGTCACATTCCTGATGAAGCTTTCCTAACCTCCTCTTGCTCCATCCTGCTGGATGCCAGGGAGAGAATGAAAACCCAAAATCACGAACTCAAGCACAGAAGGTCACTGAGAGAGTGCTGTGCTCCACGGCTTTCTGCTCCGACAGGAAGCTATCACACCAGCCAGCGTGGTTCCTTGGCTTCATGTGACTGCCACTGAAACCATCCCCACTGAAGTACCATCTATTCTTCAGGTCTAGTTCTCCATATACAAGGATTTAATGATAAAAAGCTGTAACAGCATACATAAACTTCCAGGAAACACTCTATTTACGTCTGAGGAAGACATCTTTTCATAGTTTTCCCTGATTATGATATCCAGTTAATTTAGATAATTCCCAAGGGAAGTATTTTGGGTTCCAGGACAGAAGATAGTTTTTTCCAGACAAAACTATTCAGTTTGTCACACAATACTACAAAGCTCTAGAACATCAGTGTTGTGGATTTAACTACAACTGATGTTTGAGTTTGATAACACATGGCAGTCTACCATGTGTTATCAAACATTACACTCTATTCAGTGCAGCTAGAAAGATATTAAAAAGCTAAAAACCAGCACATAATTGATTTTAGAAGCTTATTACCAAAAGGAGAAATTGAGGACAAACATTTGGTAGGAGAAGAAAAAAACCAACTATCTTTTACATCTATGAATAATGGGAGTTTCAGGTCACGTTAACTAAAAAGGACATAAACTTCCTCCTTTAGAGCATAAATCAAGGACTATCTTGGGTTGGTTTTAAAAGGAGGGAGGCTGAGGGACACTACTTTGGGGGTAGAAGAGAGAGGAGTTAGTGCAAAGTAGAAGGAAACAGCAAGGGATCAAATACAAGCAAAAATGACATTTTTGACATAACCTGTTTTGGTGGCATGGGATTCTGCTGGTTTTGGCTGGGATAGAGTTAATTTTCTTCACAGTAGCTAGTATGGGGCTGTGTTTTGGATTTGTGCTGGAAACTGTTGATGACACAGGGATGTTTTAGTTACTGCTGAGCAGTGCTGACACAGAGTCAAGGCCTTTTCTGCTTCTCACACCACCCCACCAGCGAGCAGGCTGGGGGTGCACAAGAAGCTGGGAGGGGACACAGCTGGGACAGCTGACCCCAACTGACCAAAGGGATATCCCATACCATAGGACATCATGCTCAGTATATAAAGCTGGGGGAAGAAGTAAGGGGTGGGGATGTTCGGAGTGATGGCGTTTGTCTTCCCAAGTAACCGTTATGCGTGATGGAGCCCTGCTTTCCTGGAGATGGCTGAACACCTGCCTGCCCATGGGAAGGAGTGAATGAATTCCGTGTTTTGCTTTGCTTGCACACAGGGCTTTTGCTTTACCTGTTAAACTGTCTTTATCTCAACCCACGAGTTTTCTCACTTTTACCCTTCCGATTCTCTCCCCAACCCCACCAGGGAGGAGCGAGCAAGTGGCTGTGTGGGGCTTACTTGCTGGCCGGGGTTAAACCACGACAGGGATTCCTCCTAAATACCAATTTTATGAAGCAGGGCACGTAAGATGCTTCAACAACACTAGGGCAGTTAAACATTAAAAGAGAGGTTCCTAAGGACAGCATGGTGACACCATGCTCTGGAGACCAGACTGCTCTTGTCCAGCCATAGGGAACTCTAGCGTAGGAAATAGCATCTTCCTGCTGCATGCATAAGAACTTTATTTTTTATAAAACTCATCCAGAAGCACGCCTGACATACAGCTTCCCTCATCACCGAGATAAAAATTAATCTGGGAAAAAAAAAATCTGGGTCACATGTATTAATGAGACAGGGATAGGAGAAGTCTGACAGAAAAAGATCAGATAACTAAGCACAGGTCAACCCTGCTCACGGTCCAGAGAGGGAAACTCCAATCCTGACACACTCTCTGCCTGAGCCAGGACACACGTCTCTATCCTGGAGAGGGTATCTAGTCCCGTGCTGCTCAAAGCAGGGCCAAATCAGACCAGGTTGCTCAGGACCTTGTCACACGGTACCTGCAGGACCAGACTTAAGGAAAAAGCTGTCCTCTGTGGTGCACCAAAACAAGCCTTTAAGCACAAAGACGACTTCACTGACAGCTGAAGTACACTCCTCCACTGCGAGGTACAGAGCACTGCCTGCTATGGGGAAGGGGGCTGGACCAGCTGAGCTCTACTTGCAGAGGCCAAGGCTTAGTTTAAAGCTGGGACATTGGGAGGGAAAAAAAGAATTAAATCAGAAAGAATTAAATAACCACTGTGGCATGAAAGCAAGTAACCTTTTTACAGAATCACTTCCAATACCACCTCTTTAAAGTATAACATACTTTAAAACTCTGCAAGATATGAAGGCACCAGGAGAACACATCTCTTGGAGAGCCAAAAGGATTCTTTAAAGCAATTTTTTAAAACTCTAGATAGCAAAATGTATTTCAGAATAGCGTATTTATTCACAGGAAGCTGTTCTGACTATTTGAATTTTCAAGGCTCAGCAAAAAACAAGAAAAATCTTCAGAGAGTACGCAAAGGAAACATGCCCTTCACTTGTTTTACTGGAGGGAAAACAAAAATCCAAATAGCAAAACTTCCTTTCAAGAACTGAATTGAGTCAGAATCCAACAATTCAGAGTTTAAATGTCTGGGGAAAAAAATTAAAGTACTCCAGTATTGCATTTCACGACAGCCATTTACCAGCTCATCCTGTGCTGTAGTGCTGAATAAGACACCAGAATTCATCTAATCACAGAAGGAATAAAATGAAATGGCAGAGTAAGGAATACTGCTAGTTTCTAACCGATATTCATTACCATAAATGAAGTTACAAACCAAGGTTCAAGTGCAATACAGGTCACGAGCCCAGAATTAGCAAAGTCTGGGGAGCAGAAAAAAAAAATTTAACTGCCTCTTAAATCCGTTCTTGATCTTTTTTGAATTTACAGTATCACTTTTTTGCTAACTAAACATTTACTTTTTTTTTTTTTTAAATAGCTAGAACCCGGGGGAATATAAAACTGTCAACATAAATAATACCATTATCCACAACTTGGCCCAAATCCAGCAAGTTAAATTAACTATGCCAACTGTAGCCAATTTAAACCAAGACAGTACTTGCAATTTAGTTTTAAGATTATTATTCTTAACTGACAAAACCCTCAACTGACTAATAGGTAATG